GCTATAAAATTGTTGGTCTATAAAAATAGATCTGAAATTACTCCAAATAGGAGTAAAACTATGATAAAAATCTAAAATAGGACTCCTTATGTTTTTATTCCCAAATAGGACCAAATTACTCCTATTATAAACATAAGGAATTTATCATTCCATTATTGCCCCTTCTTTGTTATCCGATGGATCCACACCCCCAAAACACATCTGGATAATTTCTTCTCTCCATCGCACCGCATAACACATCGATCAATTTCTTCTCCCCCTTCGGCCTTCGCACTATCATCTCCTCTCTTCCTCTCAATCCTCTCCAGATCGATCGATTCAAACTGGCCTGCATATTACATCGATTGCATCGCCGACCTCATCCCTTGCCGACGACTCCACCCTACACACGCCGCCGTCTGGTCAGTTTTCCTCCTCCTCCTCTTCTTCTTCTTCTTCTTCTTCTTATTGCTCTATTTTTTTGGCTTTGAAATTGATTTTTCTGATTTTTCTTCCATTCATCTTTTTTTTTGGTTCTGAAATTCGATTGTTGATTTTTGGTCTTCTGTTTTGCATTTCCGTTTTCAAATTTCAGTATTTTTAATAAATTTCAAGTTTCCAGATTTTTGAATGATGGAATAAAGTTTTGCCAAGTTTATGGCAAAAATGAACATTTTTGGCAGAACAGATTTTTTGTAAATCTGCTTATCTAATGTTTTGTCAACAGCTTCGTAATTTTGTTTTTTTATTGTGTTAGTGTGTGTGTTGCATTCAAAAAAAAATTATTTTTCAATATTTGGTTGGTATTTCATATTTTTACCAAAAGTATGGCAGTTTGTGGTGTTCTTCCAAGATAAATCTGGCACTTTTTGGCATATCAGTCAAATCTGCCAACTTAATATTAATGGCAGATTTGCAATCAACCTTCAAGCTAAATTTGCCAACTTAATGGCAAATCTACGACACTGGAGTTGTGATGGCGGCGGTGCTCGGAAGTGAGTGGTGGCCCCAGATTTAACATTGGCGGCAATCAGGGAGTTGTGACGGCGGCGACGGATGGCAACACCAGTTGGGCGGTGATGATGTACCAATAGGGTTGCAGCAGTCGACGGCGTCGGCAGATAGCGCCGGCGAGGGGTGGCGGTAGATGGCACCGGCGGAGGGTGGTGGTGGCGTACGGTAACGCCAGTGTGGGAGGCTGCATCTCCAATTTGGCTAAATATTTTTGTGGCGCAGGTGGAGCGTACCTTTGCTTTAATGAAATGCAATTCATTACGGAGTATTTAAAATAAGGGTATTATAGTCCACTCATGCTTAAATGACTCCTACTAAACATAACACACGAAATCAGTCCTATTTTAACATTTGATGAGTCTTTTTGTCCTATATGAGTAATTAACTCAAAATAGATTTATTGGTATGGGGAAAATATAAAAACTTTCAATGCATTATTTTTGAACGGTCCGGTTCGGTATTTTTCGGTACTCAAATTCTAGGACCGGTCCCGTACCCGTTTCAAACGGTACGGTTTCGGTTCGGGAAAAAAATTTATAGAACCGTTTGAATACCCGGTATTCGGTTCGGTACCATTACGGGCCGGTTCGGTACCGGTTCGGTTTGGGTTTTATGCCCACCCCTAGAAATACCAGCACCTCATCTGCTGCAGTATGAACAAATTTAAATATAATAACTGTTATGGTAACTTTTAATAAAATAAGAACTGTTATAGTAATTTTATTGATAAAAAATGTTATAGTAATTTTTTTTTCTATTTTTAAATAAAAATAAACACACAAATTCGACAATACCCTTATAATTAACAACATGCCTTGTCCACTTGAATCAATTAGAGTATTAAGACTAAATAACATAAAAATAAATAAATGATAAAATAATGGTATGTATCAACTATATGTATCGTAGGTACCATAATAATCTCATAATTTAATAGGATACCGGGCGTATGACCGGTTCAATTCTTTTTTTTTTATCGTGACCGGTTCAATTCTTAGAAAAACCTATTTAAAAATATCTAACTCTTAATAGCGATTTGGTCTTATAAATTATTTGTACAACCGATAATGAACTGAACTAAACATTAACGGTTCAGTTCTCCAACAATCATAGCTAAATTAAATAGTTGTCAGATAAAGACACTTTCAAAGTATTTTTTAAAAAATACACTTTCAAAGTTACTATTGTTATTTTCAAAAAAAAAAAACACTTTAAGGACATGTTTACTTCACGGGTTACTAAATAGTGCTTACTAAGACTCGCGTTTATAAGCGGTGCATAAAATAAGCAACGTTATAAGATCGTGTTTACTTCACACGGTTTAAAACATCGTTTAGCATTAAAATGTCTAAAATAGGCCGTGGGGGTAAGGTGGTTAGGGCCGTGGGGGGTAGGGGTAAGGTGGTAAGGCCATGTGGGTAAGGTGGTAAGGGGCCTAGGTTGGGTGTGGGGTGGGGTCGGGGTAAGGTAGGGGTAGGTTAGGGGTGGGGTCAGGATCGGGTGGGGCCGAGGTAGGGGTAGTGTATGGATCGAGGTGGGGCCGAGGTGGGGGTGGGGGGTGGCGTTGTAGGGAAAAGGGGTACGCGGGGTGGGGTGGGGTGGGGTAATGGTCGAGTAGGGGTAAGGTACGAGGATAGATGGCGGTAGTGGGTAGGGTGGTGTCAAGGTCGGGGTCGGGGTAGTAGGGTAGGGTGGGTAGGGGGGTAACAATAAGGGTAAGGGCAAGGGGTAAATTCGAAAACTGAAAAAGATTAAAGTGCCGCTTAATTAATACATGGGGGCAGGGCCGGCCCAGGCCAGGTGCAGGCTGTGCAATGGCACAGGGCCCATGAAAATTGAAGGCCCAAAAAAAATTAGCAGTAATATATTATATATAGTAAATGCGAGCAAACAACAAATACTAAACGTGGGCAGAGTGGTAATCAATAGAGGATTTCCGTTAACCTTTTCAAAAAGGTCCTGTGTTCGAGACTGGCCCTAGCGCTTTTTTTTTCTTTTGCTCTTTCAAAGCCTTAAATCATTTAAAGTGGCTTTACTTATTTGTATTTATTTTTTTTCTTTTCGAAAAGATTTTTTAACATGATTTTGAACAAATAACATACACATGTGATTAAAATTGATTTGTAACAAAGTGAAAATTATTTATTTTAAGCATGATATTATAATGACTTTGTCTACTGTCTAGTGAATATTTTGTTATCTATGTTTGTCTTTACAATTTTTTTAATGGATTAGTTGATTGGCATTCATGAGATAATATCTAAGGCAAGTTTTCCCACTCAGGGCCGTCTAGAACAATATTGAGGCCCCAGACTGTCAAACAATATTTATTTTTGAGATTTAAATTCAATATATTTTTTCTAGTAAAACAATATACAAAAACTATAACATGAATGAATAGGAGTGTTGTAGCTAGATAAAAATATTAGTGTACGCCGACAAAAAGGATATTTTATAATAATCTTTTACACAAATTTTTTACACTTAGAGTATACACGTTTACGTACAAATAGAAGTAACTACAGTTCAACATGCATCATATATGTCTCACTGATGTAAAAGAAACAATTCTTTGAATGTGAATAATGAAAACTGGAAAGATTCTAATTGTATATTCTATTTATTTAATTTTTTGAAGAGTAAAATTTATAAGAACATCATTACAATTAGTAATATAGCCAACCCAAATCTATCATCAGGCATGCTTGATTGTAAAAATATTTTTTCAACTTTAGTTTTAATTGTTATTCTTTCAATTAAATAAACAATTAAATGTATGTAGTACTATTTTTGCTTGAAATGGAGGCCCCATGTAATTTGGAGGCCCTAGACAAATGTCTAGGCTACCTCCCCCTAAAGACGGGCCTGTCCCCACCACACGAATTTTTCTGAATACGCCATTGAGCATTTTAACAGCAAGACAACTAACGAGACAACAAAGTGTGAAAGTAAACACTCAGGAATTTTGCATTTGCATTGAATAAATTGATATTAAGTCATTAGGTAAATACATTTGGTTTCTCTTTACATTAAAAAAAGGCCCAATTTTTTTCTTTGCACAGGGTCCTAGAATTCTTAGGACCGGCCCTGCATGGGGGTGGTATGCTTAGTAAGCGGCACTTTAAGCACCTATTTCGGTTAGTAAGCGGCTTTTTAAGCAGCGTGCATGTTTACTTCACCTGTCTTACTAACCTAACTGTGACTTTAGCAGTGAAGTAAACGCCTCCTAAAAGTTAAGTTTCGAACATATATGCCTAACAATTCAAGCTGAAAATTTAGTAAAAAAACAAAAAAGACATTACTACAAGAGGAACCGATTATATACTTATCAATTTATCAACTCTATTAACTAAACTAGTTAATTTTGTGAATTTAATATATATAAAACAAGTAAGTAATGCATAGTCCTTTATATATACTATCAAGTCAATAAACTTAATTACTACGTACCACCTCCATCCCACTATTTTGGGACAAAAGAGTGTGACACAACTTTTAAGAAACAGTGAAATTGTGTGGTTGATATTGAATTGATAAAATGTGAATAAAGTAAGAATGAATTATAACCATCCAAATATGTTATGGGACAAATTTAATGGGACGGACGGAAAAGATAAAACGGAACAAAGTTAGAAAGGTAAAACGGAACAAAGTTAGGGAAACGGAGGGAGTAGTATATAACAATTCCTTAATGTTGCGCAGATTTTTATTTGAACTAGAAAACTTTGACCGTTAATAAAAATAGGAACTGAATCTTTAATAAATAACTAATTAATACTGAAATTCTTTTGTTACTTCTTGATTTCAAAGTCCCACATTGTCATAGGATATCTTAAATCTTATAATCTTATAATCTTAAATGAGAGTTAGGGCATTTTAGTCATGAAGAAAATGTTAGTGTAATCACTTGCTTTATGAGGTGGTACCTTGTGCTTCCCCTTGTGTACTCTTTTAAAGGAATTCAATTTTCTGTTCAATTTCCGTTAAAAGTTAAAACTCCCGTCTGTTGTAGCTAAACCCTGGTTTCCCACACCTTGGATGTCCTCCCGCTTGTAAACTAACTGAAGGGATGACCTCATCCCTTCAGTAAACTACTATTCATAGCAATAAAGATTTCTTGATCAGTTTTCTTGATCAATTCTTCCTAATTCTCTATTGTTCTGAATCGGATTTACCAAAGTTCGCATCAGCTCATTCAAACTGGCCACCATCCAGAAGTATTCAGCATTTACAGGTAAGTGATAATTTTGAACGTTGATGTGATAACTCAAATTGATGTTGAAAAATTTCCTATTTTTTGCTCAAAGTAGATTACAAACATAAAATCTTGCACACCAATTGTCTATGTGAATACTTTAGGGTCTTGAAATGCATGTAATGCCTATTGTTTCAGGATATAATGTTAAGTTTGTTGTTCCCTATATTAATATGTTACAGACTACTGAGGACTATGGTGGAAGAAGTTAATGTATAGTGCCCACACCTCTGAATATTGGTGTTCATATGCTGAGAGAAATAATATGAATCTAATAATGCTTTCTTTGAAAGGAAAGGGTAACATTATTCTGGGGTGACAGATAAAGGAAAGGAGGAACCGTTGGATGAAGGGGTGACGATATTCGGCGATTTGCTTTCTTTGACAATCGTTCTGTCTTTCCTTCAATTTCAGTTGTATTCGGCGATTTGTTTTTTATGTATATATAATGAAAATCTGTAATTTTAGGAGTAGACCTGATACATGGGAGCAATCTAATGGGGAAGCTAAGTTTCAATGCTGAACTTCTAATAATTTAGAGCACTCTCTTATAATTTAGAGTACCAATCATGCAGAGAAGTCCGATCTTAGAAAACTAGGAGTGGAATGAGTTACTAAAGAGGACGTGCAAAAGATGCAATGGGAAGTTTTAGTAGCAAAGACTCAAAGTTGAATTCATTACATAAGGATCGTGGTGATAATCATCTCCAACACATGTCTGCTTTCTTTTTTCGTTTTACATGTGATTTGTCTTTACTACTGCACTTTATTTTCTCTTTTTTGTTTAGATAGGTCAAGCTTTTGTTGGCTGCAGCAAAAAAAAAGTGTGATCAATTTTTTTGAAGGCCATGATATTCTAGGGGATCAATGTTTTGCAGAGGTTACAACAAATAGTGTGTCTATCCTCTTCAGTTTTGACAAGGCTATTTCTAAGAGAAAATGATCACCCAAAAAGCTATTTGTCCTTCTTGACATGTATGAAATCATGAGAGAAGTTCAACTAGAGGTAGATATCTTGAGTTTTTCCTCTGCATGTGTACCACTTGTATGCCTGAAAAATTGAGCACCAAGATTTGAAGATCTTTTTGCTTCAACTACCCACAGTGAATAGATCTAAAAAACACAAATTCTCAATGAGCTTAATTTTGTTTACAATGAATTTCAAAGTCTTGATACCACTTGGTCCATTATTTCTATATCTAGTTATTTGTAATATGAAGGGAAATAGTGATACAATCATCCTTTAGCAAAAAGACACTTGTCCTTTTTGCTAATTTGTACACATTTTCCTCTCCCATGGTATTTGTGGTGATGAAGCTATAACTTAGTATTCGTTTTGAGGTATCTAGAAATAAGGAATAATCGTTGAATGCTCAGTACCAGAACTAGGGATGGACTCAACCGGGCCGGCCCGGCCCGGAACCGGCCCGGCCCGCCACTGTGCAGGCCCGGCCCGGAACCGGGACTGGTGAACCGGTTCGGGCTTTGACCCGGCCCGGGGGGGTTTGGCGGTTCGGGTCCGGTTCATTTGTTTGGTGGCCCGGCCCGGCCGGTTCAGGCCCGGGTCGGGCCTAACGGTTACTTTTTAAAAAAAAAAAAAAATTTTGTTTTTCAGCCAAACAGGCCTTATGGCCGTTGGCTTTCAACCCAAACAGCTCTATAGCCGTTGGGAGCCTTCCAGGGGGTCCCGGGTTGGGGGGTGGGGGGTGGGGGGGGTGGGGGGTGGGGGTGGGGTACTAAATATCTATAAATACTCCATTTTTTCTATACACTTTACTACACATCTTCTCCAAATATCTCTACTCTCTAAATCTCTAATCTCTATTCTCTACTAATCTTTCCCATCTTCATCTTCTCAATTTCTCAAATTTATTACTACATATATTATATTTATATAATTTATTATCTACTTATATTAATATCTAATTATTATATTATTGTTACTTATATAAGTATATTTATTTACTTATATTCACATATTACATATACTTAATATATACTTATATTAGTTATACATATATTAAAGTATAATATATAAGTGTATTACTCAACTTATAGTAATATACTTATATATTAAAGTATAATATATAAGTGTGTTAGTCATCTTGTAGTAATATTAACATAATATTATCTACTTATTATCTACTTATAAATATATATTTACTACATATATAAGTGTGTTAGTCATCTTGTTAGTCATCTTATATTATATATACTATCAACATAATATTATCTACTTATTAATTTTGTTTACACACTAATACATTCTTCATTAATATAAAAGTTGTTAATTGTTTCACTTATCATTTTAGACTTTTAGTATTAGTTCATTGCTATAAAAGTGGTTAATTGGTATTTGTTAGTTTATTGGAAGTAGTTACATTAAAAATTGTTAGACAAGAATTCGAAATTAATTGTTTACTTGTTAAACTAGTTAATTGTTACATTTCTTAATCTCCTCTAATACTAGTTAATTGTTACATTTATTATTCTCCTATCAAACATTCCCATTAATTTTGTTTACACACTAATACATTCTTCATTAATATAAAAGTTGTTAATTGTTTCACTTATCATTTTAGACTTTTAGTATTAGTTCATTGCTATAAAAGTGGTTAATTGGTAGTTGTTAGTTTATTGGAAATAGTTACATTAAAAATTGTTAGACAAGAATTCGAAATTAATTGTTTACTTGTTAAACTAGTTAATTGTTACATTTCTTAATCTCCTCTAATACTAGTTAATTGTTACATTTATTATTCTCCTATCAAACTAGTTAATTGTTAATTATATTATAGTTGTTCGAAAATTTATCTACTTAATATATTAAGTGTATTCCTCATCTTATAGTCATATATTTATATTATATATACTATAAACATAATATTATATATTACTAGTTAATCTACTTATTATCTACTTTTAAATATATATATTTACTATATCTACTTATACACTTAATATCAAAGTAGTTAAATTTCTCCTATCAAAATAGTTAATTCATTGTTACATTTATTATTCTCCTCTAAATTTCATTGCATTGTTACATTTAATGTCTAGTTAAAATTTCTCCTATTGAACTAGTTAATTGTTATTTACATTGAAGTTGTTCAAATTTTATAATAAAAGTTAATTTAATTGGTACATTTTAATTGTTACATTCTAGTCAATTTAATTGTTCGAATTTAATTGTTACATTGTAGTTCGATTTGTTAGATTTGTATTTGAAATTCACTAGTTTAATTGTACTTCGAATTTAATATTTGTTATATTTTTAAGATGGAACGTGGTAGAGCTTCAGTAGATATGGGTAACCTCCGCCGCAACCGAACAAAGGAGATTGCGAGGAATCATCCAAGCTTGCACAAAGGTAAGGGACGGGCCGGGGCTTCATCTCAAACCCGAGATGATTTTGATGCGGATTATAACCAAAGATATGGGTCTGCGATGTCCGATGAGCAAGTAGAACAACTATTACGACAAAATCAAGGGGCCTTCTTCCATCAACAAAACATCCCGACCATTGACGAAGAAGAGCTCGAGGATGATGATGCGGAGGAGAGGGATCCGCAAACGGTCGAGCACGAGGTTCATGGCACACCGTACGATGATGAAGAGCAAGCGGAAGTGGCTACTTCTTCCCAAGGCGGTGAGAAAGCTGAATCAGTCTTTAAGGCAAATTTTACAAAATTTAAAGACCCCCAAACCGAGATATGGTACGCCACTTGCAAGCATTGCCCAAAGAAGTATAACTTGGGAACTTCTGGAGGGTACGGGAGCGCCACAAGGCATCTTAAGGCCAAGCACCCGGCGGAATATGTGAAATCAGACAAAGGCAAGGGAAAGCAAACACAAATTTCAAGATTTGGAAGTGGCCAACCCTTCGGTAATTTCTCCTATGATGATCAAAGACATTTGACTGGTATGTCGCATTTGATTGTTGAAGAAAATTTGCCTTTTATTTTTTCCGAAAGTCTTGCTTTAAAAGAATATGCTCAAGGTACTTTAAATCCTCAATTTCGAAACTATAGTCGCAAAACAATTAAAAAAGAAGTTATAAGGCAATATGTTTTGGAAAAGGAAAAATTACAAATATTTTTCGCAAACTTTGATGGCCGTGTTAGCATATGTAGTGATATATGGGAGGATACTCATCATCATTTATATTATTTGGGTTTGACTGCACATTATATTGATGATGATTGGTGTATGCATAAACGTGTTCTTGCTTTTCGTGAATTTAATGATCGACACACCGGCGATAATATTTATATTCTCATTGAGCGTATTTTAATTGAGTATAATTTGATTGATAAGGTGTTTGCTATTGGTTTTGATAATGCTACTAATAATACTGCGGCTATTCCTAGATTGCGTGAATTGTGTGGTTCATCTTCTTTGATGGGTAGGTTTTTTCATCAGCGTTGTGCATGTCATATTTTAAATTTATGTGTAAAGGACGGTCTAGCGGCGTTGGGAGATGCTTTGGAGGTGGTCAAGGGGGGGATTAAACTGATTTGGGCTAGTAATCCACTTAAGATGCAATGGAGAAATTATTTGAAAGAAAGACGTGTCAAATATTGTGCTTTTCCTAAAGATTTGTCTATTCGTTGGAATAGTACTTATAATTTAATTAAAGTGCTTATTAGATATAAAAACCATTTTCCCGCTTTTTTAAGAGAATATGCTAACTATATTATAAACCCGGCCGATATCGACACTTGTGAAAAAATTGTGAATGTTTTGGTGTTTTTTAATAATGCCACTGAAACTTTTAGTCATGTTTATAAACCTACCGCAAACCAATTTTTTGTTGAAGCTGTTAATCTCGCCGGCGCTTTTTCTGAATTCTCTGACGCCGCTTACGTTAGTTATTTTTGTGACTTCATGAAACAAAAGTTTTTAAAATATTATTCCTATATTCCGCATATATATGGTATTGCATTTATTCTTGATCCTCGTTTTAGACTTGCTTCTTTGGAGAAATGTTTAGATTACTATTATGCTTCTTTTTTTGGTCCATTGCCTATGTACGACGACAAGGCCATAGACCCTAAACAACAATTCCAAGAGGTTAGTAATTTATTATATCAATTATTTAATGAGTTTCATGCACAATATGGTAACGCACCCCCTCCCCCGCCACGAACATCTTCTTGATCTAAAGGAAAATCAATTTTCAAATCTGCATTTGGCAATCTTATGAAAAAAAGTAAATCAACTCCGGTTAATGAACAAAGCTCGATCAACGAGCTTTCTTTGTATCTAACATTTCCTGTTGATTATGAAGAAGGGGATGACTTTGACGTTCTTCAGTGGTGGAAGGAAAAAGAGAGAACGTTCCCGATCTTATCAAAGATGGCTAAGCAAGTGCTAGCAATGCCGGTATCAACAGTTGCTGTGGAACAAGAGTTTAGTGCGGCCGGCAACGTCCTAACGGATTATAGAACGAGATTAAGCGCAAACTCTCTTGAGACGCTTGTTTGCTTCCACGATTGGTTGAAGGCCAAACGTAGAACTCAAGAAATCAGCATTGAACCCACTCGCCACTTTATGGAAGAAACAACTGAAGATGGAGGAAATTCTAATTGATTCATACTTCATTACTTATTATAAAGTGTATTTCATGTTTTTATTTTTGCTCAATTTTCAATTGTACTACAAATATCAAATAAATATGTTTTACCCTTTTTTATGTCCAAGTAATATTAATTTAATTTTGGTATCTAAAAAAAAAAAAATTAAAGCCCGGGCCCGGCCCGGCCCGGCCCGGACCCGACCGGGTCGACCCGGCACGAACCGGACCCGGTATCACCCCGGGCCGGTTCCGGGCCCAACAATCCCCAAAAAAAGCCCGCGCGGGCCCGGCCCGGAACCGGCCCGGCCCGGCCCGGGTCCATCCCTAACCAGAACTATACCTTATTATTCTTTATTTATTGTTGGATATACTTTTTGGAAATCAATATCGTGGTGAAGTGCAAGAAGCTACTATAATTTTGGCAAAGCGTTTGGTCAAGAGACATTTGTTGACTTCGAAGAAGAAGTAGAGAAAGATGCAACAAAACATGTTGTTCAAAAATTATATAGCTTCTGAATTTTAGGAAACCTGTGGCTTTTCATTACTTTCCACAATCTCTTTCACTTTATTATGCATATTTCCAAAAAACTGTTGGGGTTCCTTGGAGACATAAATGTGTTAGTGCTATTCTATCATTGTGTATTAAAGAACTCAAATTCGAACAATATCAGGATAACAATTGATCATTTGGGCAAGCTTTTACGCCTCCAAAACACCTCCTTACATGCTGCACTGCTAAGCTTGTACACAGTACATGTTTTCCATGATGCAAAATACGTCAAAGTCATGTAACCTTAGAGCGTTCACTATCACGGACTAGGGGTCTTAATATTTTGATAACTCACGATGTACAGTTGTGTATTATGTTGCCTTTACCCAAAGTGATTATAATATTGCCTTTAAAGTTTTCCAGATTCATACTTTGGTTGAATATATGTCGGTTAATCTCCTAAAAAAATTGGTAATTTTGAAAAAATAATTGCATATAATGGTATATTTTTCGGGTTTCACTTTAGCCTAACTCACATTCGATGAGCTAAATGCATAAATGGTACCATAACTATTGGTAATGTTGCATTTTAGTACCTTAACTTTTAAATGAATCAAAATGGTACCTTAACTATACATAAATGTTTCGAAATGAGATTTTATTCAAATTTTCGACGAAAAAATATATTATGTCGATCAAAATTTCATGTGTAGAGTCACCCTATGGTAACCATATGTACAAAAATAAGGTGAAGTGGACTTTCTGCATAAAATTCTGGCCGCCACGTGTGATTTTTTGGTCGGAAATTTGAAAAAAATCTCAATTTGAAACATTTATGTACAATTAAGGTACCGTTTTGATTCATTTAAGACTTAAGGTACCAAAATACAACATCACAAATAGTTAAGGTACCATTTATGCATTTGACCCCACATTCGATATAGCCTAACTAACATTTTTTCAATCATTAAAAAAGATTCACTTCCAACAATAAATAAATTTATACTGCGTAGTTGATTAGCATTTATAATATCACATAAAATATTCAAAGTGAATCATGCAAAAAATATAAATGCAATTTGCTATTGTTATCGCCAAATATTTTTTCATATATGTAGAGTACAAACATAACAAATACAAATATGTCGCATTAGCTAACTTTGTCATAATGAATGTATAAAATGTGTAAATGCTAAAATGATATATGCTGAATTTGTATTTTTCATGTCTAAATTATTTATTTATATCCTAAAGATGAAGAGTGAAAAAAAATACAAAGTATTTATATACTACGTATATTACAAGTTGTTCGGTTTTCAGTTCGGTTGTAGAGCCGTCAAAACCGGCCGAAACCCGCGGGTTGGCCCGTTTCAACCCACTTATAAGTGGGTTAGGGCTATCATTTTTAGGCCCGATTGTTTTGCGGGCTCAGTGGGTCAACCCTAACGGGTTGCGGGTTTAGCGGGCCAACCCGTATGAGTTGCGGGCCAACCCGCGGGCTGAGGACAAATATCATTTATTCTATGTATTTTTAATTCTATTATTTCTATATAGGACAATTATATCTTCTATTATACTCTCTCATTACTTCTAGTTCTTTCCTCACTTCTAATACTAATGTATTTTGTTCATGATATCCAAATTAGACTAAATAAATGTATTTTTAATGTATTCGTTGCTATACTGTTTTATAATATAAGGACTTCTATGCTGTTTTATTCATGATATCCAAATAACACTAAATAAATGAGAAATTAGGTATTTGCGGTATTTCAGCTCAAGTATACCCATGATAATACATTAAAGCTTTTAAGTATTTCATCGTTTAATTTTTTAAGTATACCAGTTACCCACGATGATACATTCAATCAAACATACAACCAAAGGATTTTCAAGCACTAATTTTTTCCTTTTTAATTGTGTTTGGATTTTAATTTAGATATTTAATTGCTATTTCAATTGTGTTTGGGTTTTAATTTAGATATTTAATTGTTTTTTTGTTTTGACATTTATGGCCCGCAGGCTGGCCCGCATAACCCGTGGGTTAGGTGGGTCGGGTTAGGGTCATAAAAATTCTGGCCCGATAGTAAGCGGGTTGGCCCGCCCCGGGGCGGGGCGGGTCGATGCGGGTTGGCCCGTTTGACAGCTCTAGGTTTTCGGTTTTTCGGTTTTAAACCAAACCATTCGGTTTGAGCAAAATGCTACCAAACGGTTTACTTAAGTGAAACCACCAAACCAAACCACCAATTTTCGGTTCGGTTCAGTTCGGATTGGTCAAACCAAATCATTTTGCTCACCCCTAATTCTAGGCCTCCTGAAAAACTATTTAAAAAAATGTTACACTCGACACTCCAAATACGCACTTCATTTTACTTATTCTTTTCTTTAGTGATGTTATATAGGTATATTTCTTGTAGGTGAAGTACGAGCTTTTTGTTACGTAGGTCTGTCATCTATTTTCTTACAATAAATTGGTCTTGTGACCCACGCACTAACGTGCACGACAATTTTTCGGCTTTCATAATAAAATGAGATTCCTTGCATTTAGAAATTTGTTGATTTAGTCCCGTAACTTATAGCTATACCCGATATCGGTCCTGTAACTTTAGTAACTTGCAGATTACATCCCGTAACTAATAAGTTGGTGCAATTTTGGTCCTTCTCGGCCGAAACTTACTAATTTCTCCGGAAAACGACACATCACTTGCCAGATGGTATATTATTTGGAACTCATTTGCTGACTCAACATTGGCCCATAGGTGGGTCCACCCATTCAAAAAATCTGCAACCTCTTCCTCTTTTGAATTGAGTCTTCTAAGCAATCTAGGAATTATCATTGTTGAACGATGACACATGGGTGGGTCCGCCCATTCAAAAAATCTGCAACCTTCGATCTGTCTGCATCAAAATAATATCAAGCTTAGCTTACTTTTTACTGCTTTGAACACAAAAATACATGATCAAATACCCCCAACAAATAGAAGATGGTACTTTTATTAGCAGAACCTAGCTTAAAATTTAAATACATTTTAATTTTCAAACACATTTATTATACAAATGTTATTCTTAAATTTCTAGTTTATTTAATAAAAATAGAAGCAAACTAAATTAAAAGGTTGAACTTCTTACTCTGCTTCTAGCGCACACACGAAACCTCCTTCTGGGATTGTTATCAGTCCAAGAAGCTAGAAGAGAAACCTTTTTATCACAATCACACTCCATAAACTATTTTCTGATCGAGAGCCGTTACTAGCAAATTTGAAGAATAATTCACTCTCTCGACTTAGTTCCCGAGAAATCAATGGATAGGGTTATGTGCTCTTTCCCCCTTCTTGCATATCCGATAATAGGTTTGGTATGGTTGTGTGCACACTCAACGAATAGCTTTCATACTATCATTTTTTAACTCCAGCTAAGGGTCAATGTTTAGTCAGCAAATGAGCTCCAAATAATATACCATCTGGCAGGTGATGTGTCTTTTTCTGGTGAAATTAGTAAGTTCTGGCAGAGAAGGACCAAAATTGCACCAACTTATTAGTTACGGGATGTAATTTGCAAATTACTAAAGTTACAGGACCGATATCGAGAATAGCTATAAGTTACAGGACTAAATCAACAAATTTCTCTTGCATTTTTTTAGGTGCATTAGCAACTTAACACAAACATCTAATGTGGATTTACCAACCTAGATCACTTCTATGAAAATATCTATATACAATTAGGTACCTCCTTACAAAATATATGCCTCAAGTTCATACATAATATTGGGCATCCCCTCGTTGCGCAACGCGCAATACAAAAACTAGTACGATAGAAGAGTAGTACTCCTGTCCGGCCTGGTTAGACAGAAGGGTGGTTCCGACCACCTCAATTTGAGGTGGTTCCCGGTAATATTTTTTGTTGAAATTTTTTGTGTATGTTTCTCATCAATTCTAGTTCATCCATACCTAATTTGAGCAAAAAATTCAATCGGGAAGGTCGTCAAATGATTTTGCAAGATAATTGCGCCGGAATATACATATAAGACGCAGTTATCTTTCAAAAAACATTTGACGGCTTTCCCGATTAAAGTTTTTGCTCAATTTTGATATGAATGAACTAGACTTGATGAGTAACATACACAAAAAATTCAGGAAAAAATACCAATGGGAACCAACTCAAATTGAGGTGGACGGACGAGGTCTTGTTCGAAGCGGCCGAACATGAACAATTGTGGTGAACTCACTATTTTAGAAACATACTCCCTCCGTCCCTGAAAATTGTTCCCGGTTTCCTTCTTGGGTCGTCCCAAAAAATTGTTCTACTTTCCCCTTTTGGAAAGTTTTTTGTGGCTACAATTCATTTACCTTTTTCTTACTCAACAACAACCATACATTTCCACTTTATTCCCACTTTTTTAAACTCCGTTCCAAATCAATGCGGGAACAATTTTCCGGCCGGAGGGAGTATATCCTGTGTGGACCCTTGGCTAGGGCTGAGCAAAACCCGATCCGACCCGAAAAACCCGATAATTTTTTCGGATATTATCCGAACCGAAGTGGATATCCGACCCGAAACCGAAAATCCGATTAATATTGGGCCTAGTTCGGGTGGCGGGTAGGGTTTGTAAAATCCCAACCCGACCCGCCCGAATAT